GAGGAAATCATTTTCATTAACTGACCCAGATTTTCTTCTTGTTGTTGGTTGGAGGGGGGTGGGGCAAGGGCTATTGCAGGGTTTAACGATCTTTAATATAAATTATAAAGACCTTTAATCTTTACAATTGTCCAATATGAATGATAAGGATCATGATGGGGTTCCCGGGGATTTCTAAAAATAAAGTACCATATGCCATTTATCATTCGTTGCAGAAGAGAAATGAAGCTAACCAAATGTCACACTGTGGAAACACATGTGACTGGACCGGCTTCAGCTTCTCTCTCTCTTTATCGGCTCTAGGGTCAATACAGAAAAATATGACACACGTGCACACAAGATGGCAAGAAACGAACCGTGGGCTCAATAGAAAGTACACGTTTGTTTAGAAAATGAGATGGCAACATACGTACAAATATGCTCGATACAATTGATGTATGGATTGTCGTAAGAGCTGTAAGAGCCTCCAATAAAATGATCTTTAAATAACTTTTTTTTAAAGGAACAAAACTTGATGGTAAAACTGGGTCCCTTGTACGCTGTGGCTCAATGCCTGCTAATCCTGAGAAATGTTTTCATTGGTTCGAATTAAAAAGATGACCCCAAAATAAAGGCTGAAGACAGGAGCCAAAAGATGTTGGAGAGGACGAGCAGGAGTGCTCTGCTGCTTGCAGAGCAGCTCTGAGACGTGAACACCACAGTCAAGTCAGGGAGGAGAAAAGGTCATCTAAGTAAGATAAAGGAGACGGCTCAGCACCATCTAATTCATCTTAGCAGCCTCACTTAGGGATTTAAATCAAACATCGAATTAGATGTTCCAACTTTTCTCTTTTTATTTAATTTTTAAAAACTCAACATAATCACATACTGGATCCATTTGGTGATGCAATTTTCCCCCCATCATTTTATTGGGGGCTCGTACAACTCTGATCCATACATCCATACACATCCATCCATTGTGTCAAGCACATTTGTACATTGCCATCATCATTCTCAAAACATTTGCTTTCTACTTGAGCCCTTGGTATCAGCTCCTCATTTTCCCCCTCCCTCCCTGCTCCCCCCTCCCTCATGAACCCTTGATAATTTATAAATTATTATTATTTTGTCATATGGTGATGCAATTTTAAATGACTATAAAATTAGCAAGGAACCTTGGTAATGTTGTGGGTTACGCGTTGTGCTACTAACCACAAGGTTGATAGTTTGAAACCACCAGCCTCTCTGCAGGGGAAAGATGAGGCTTTCTACTCCCCTGAGGAGTTAGCCTGGGAAAACCCTGAGGGGCCGTTCTGCCCTGTCCCATGGGGTCACTGTGAATTGGAATAGATTCCATAGCACTGACCTTGAGGGTTTGGGTTTTTCAGTATAAAATGAACAGAACAGTAATGCTGATCACCTGTTTTCAGACTACCTGCTGTCGTTCCTGCTCAGAGATCAGCCATGGCTCAACTACAGCGTTGAGACCAAACCCAAACCCTCACTCTGGAATTCAATGCCTTTAATGATTTGGCTACGTTGGTTTCTAGTGCAGTAGTGGTTACTGGTTGGTCTGCTAACCTCAAGATTTGCAGCTCAAAACCACTAGCAGCTCGGAGAGAGCAAGATGAGGCTTTCTACTGCAATGAAGTTACAGCCCTGGAAACCCACAGGGGCCATTCTACCCTGGTCCTGGAGGGTCACTATGAGTAGACATGGATGGGATGGCGGCGAGGTTTCTGTTTGTTCGTTTCTGAGTATCCAAAATAACCCTAACACCCTAAAACTTAGCCTTCGTCTCCCACACAGGGCTCTAAACCGACCCCTCTAGGGTTTGGGCCGTCTTCCCACCTGCAGTGGAATTCTCTCCTTCCATCGAACCCCGTTCTCCAGGGAGGCTTTCCCTGCAGCCCACCAGCCCTTCCCTGGCCGGGCCTCAGCGCCCCTCTCCACTGCCGCCCACCCACCCCGACCCCCGTTTCGGGACCTTCTCCCTTCCGCACGTTCTCCAGGGCTCTCCCCCCACCTGCCCACCTGCCTCCAGTCAGCCGGTCTGTGTATTCGGGCTATTTTGTTTCAAACCAGGACCTGGACGCCCGCAGACCCTCCTCCGGCGGCTTTCCCCCCAAATCCCCCCACCAACCTCCGGCCGCCTCCCCGAGGCCCCAAGCGCCGGCTCTCTGCCTCCCTGGGCCCGCGGCC